GCATGTACACAAATAACGGTGAACACTTTCACAAATGATTTGGTACTCTTTACAGGGATAATTCAGTGCTAATGAGGATACTGCATATTCAATAATCGTCATAAACACAATTCTCCTCAACTGCATCCTTAATGACATTGCTACATGTAATTTCTATTTCAGTGTAAGTGATTGTGTTCGCACCTTACTGTTTTAAATAACAATTAGTTGAAAAGTGTGATTATCATACATGCCAACTCTCCCGGATACGACAACAATCTCTTCCTGTACGGGTCAGCAAATCTCCTGGATAAAATGGAGTTATGAGCTTTCCAGTGCTTTAATTTGGAATTTATCCCTTTTTCTCCCAAAATTCGAATTTTCTTTCAGTCATAGTTCGGTTTTTGGGGCATTTTCACATGTATTTCATCAGTGACAAAGATTATTTCCCCATTAGAATCGTAAACGCTAATTGTGATAGTTTTGTGCCTCATGTAAGACTTCATATAATGTCCTAAGTCGATTAGGGACTGGATCCAATTGTGCTTATTGGGGGTCAGGGGGGGAGGGGAATGCTAAAAAAAGAGTCTCCAGATTTTAGATTTCCAGATGTTGGCATCTCTGGATTATGTACTACAACAAGTGCAAACACTCTCATTGCTGTAGTTTACTTGACAATAAATATTTTTCGTCAATTACCAGCATTTTCTTGCTATTTTCACTGCTCTACTAGCTAATGACGCACTTCACGAGTAATTATTACTACATTTATTATTAAAGATGGCATGAGTTAGCTGCATATTCTCTCTTTTGTGCAGTTATTCACTATCACACCCATTTTCTTTTGACTATAGTTACATATGTAGGAGGGTCAGATGGGGTAAACACAGGACCTATGAAACATTGCCTACCCTTCCTTAGTAACACCAGCCCTCCTTAAAGTCCCAGAAAAGCCTTTTTAATGACAGAGCACTGGGTTCAGATTTACTCCAACAAAAGGAGATTAAGTACATCTCACAATCCAATATTAGAGCCAGTGTTGAAACCCGCCCGCCAGGCTACACAATTTACTCCAATTCTCTCTCCCCTTCCATCCTTGACATTTTATGGGCCTCGTCTTCCCCCGCCCCCCTCCCGAATTTCGGGAGTTTCTGCGTTACACGTATTTCTAGTCCTAAACGATGTAAGAAAATTGAGAGTGTTGTCTTAAACAGGGCATGTATTAAAGGATTTTTTTGTCCTAAGCTGGGTCAGGTTTCAAACCTCAGCCGCTGAGTTATACCCAAATATTGGTCGAATACTCCCCCCCTCCCCCCATTTTTAGACCATTTTGGAAACCGAGAAGCCCTTGGGAAGAGGAGGACCCTTGGAACTAGAAAGATCATGTGACTGCGGTATGCTGGTTCATAGAAGGCAAAGAAATAACAACTGGACACGACAAAAAAACAGGGAGTCATTTGTTTCTACAATTAGGAAAGTCATTTCGCCATTTCCTGTTTTAAACACGCCCAAAAATCTTACTAATTTTCTACGAAATGCTCTGCTCTAACCCCCTAAAAGCATTCTATTTAATTTTAGAATTGCCAGGCAAATAGGAGAACGTGAGCGGCATTCACAGTTGACTAAGTATAGTTGGTATAGTTTTCCTTGCTTGAACATAAAATGAAATCGCCGTATTTAGTATGAACTCAGTCTGCAACGTAATCTCAGGGCAGCTCTTGAGCCGCTTTTGAGATAAACGGAGGGGCGCTTATTAACCAGAGTAGAAAAAGCGCTTCGAAACAAACTACAGCAGTGCTGATCAAAATACGTATTTTATTTCAAAAAGTCATACATGTAATAAATCGAATTTATAGAAGGGGGGTTTATATCCGGGGGCTTATAATTAACAATTATTCTTTGAAATCGAGATGAATAGTGGCTTATTATGTTAAACGAGCCGCGAAGCGGCGGGGTAAATATTCCTAAAGCCACACTATTCACAGAGAAAAAAACATTTCGGGGGATTTTGCAAGTGAATTTTTACGATTTTGTTGCAAATTCAGCAAGAAAATAATTTTCTATATGTGACAGGGTGTCACGAACTTTATTTTACAAGGACTTGATTCAGTTTAGTTGTTTGCTGTTTGATTTCCATGTTTTTAACCTCTTTTTAGCAATGATGCTTGGTCTCATTTTTTAAATGACAGTAGCAATTTGTAGAAACTTTCTAGCATAATGTAGCGTAGGACTTGCTCTATTTCATTTTACTATTGAGGAATTCAGTAAAAGTAATTGTTATTTCGCCTGCTTAGTTAAACCCCAGAACTAGCTTTATCAGTTTTATCCCTAAAATGCACATTTTGCTCATGTACAGGAAAGGCGCTTTTCTAGGCTTTCCTTCTTTATTTAGTAGGTTAAAAAACGTTTCATGCACGTAGGAGGTTTATTTTACAAATATTTTGAGATAGTAATTGGTTTGTGATTGATTATGTACATTCAGTGCCTCAAAATACTTAAAATACGAATGTTTCTCCTCATTGCAAAACGAACTGCTGTACCAGCAGTCCCTTGTGATTTCTCAGCGCTGATTTCCGTAGGAATAACTTTCATTATAAAACCTGTAACTTCACTTTATAAGAACATAATAAAAAGGAAATTTGTAATTGTAGGTTGTTAGTCATTCTGCTCAAATCAAGCCCGATTTCTCAAGCCGCAAGTTATTTTTACAGCCAATATTTTCTTTCGTTGTGAAATCGTGCATGAATCGACCGCCGCAAAAGCGTATGTTGCTTACTGCATGACTCAAACAGTCATCTGGCATTACTCCCGCGGTGCTCATACGAATTTCACGCAGTCATTTTTCGAAACTCTGGCAGCGCTTGCAGTGCAGTTATCATGCAGCTTTTTCCTGCAGCCGTTTGAGCAACGCTTGCAAGTCGCTAATGCAGCGTTACACGAGCGACACACGTTTCGCACGGGAAGTTGTCACTGGCGTATTATTTTCTTTGATTATAAAAGCTGACTGTGGCTGATAACTGAAGTTTGCTTATCTGTAAAGACTGAATACAACAATGCAATACAATCATAAGGTAATTGGTATAGTGTCAATGGATTTATCAAAAGCCTTTGACACTCTGTCGCATGATCTGATAGTACTGAAATTAAAGCAATATCAGCTTGACGACAAAAGGGCTATCTTTCTAATCGAAGGCAACGGGTGAAACTTGGAAACGTTCATTCTACATGGCTGGATATAACGACTGGAGTTCCCCAGGGATGCATTCTTGGCCCTGTTCCATTCAACATATTTATGAACGATCTTGTTTGCGTGATAAAACTTAGTAACCTATCGACTTATGCAGATGACACACAGATTTTCTTTGCCGATAAGGATCCATTGATAGTCCAGGAAACCATAAACTCGGGCTTATCATATGGCATGAAAAGAAACCACTGTAAATACCAGGCTATGGTGATGTGCTATAGGAACGTTAATTCGGAATTTTGCTGCGAAAACAACATCTTTCTAAATAGCGATGCGCTACAAATGCTTGGAATTACTGTTGATGATATGTTGAAATTCGACAAGCAAGTCGCTAAGATCTGTAGAAAAGTATCTCGACAAGTTGCAGCTGTAAAGCGCATGAGAAATATACTTCCTTTCGAGATAAGAAAGAATATTTACTTCTCATTTGTTGTACAACACTTCGATTACTGTGCACAAACTTGGCATTACTGCAATAGGAGTTCCGCTGAAAAACTGGAGAAAGTAAATGAAAGAGCTGTTCGGTTTGCTTTTTGACACAAACATACTACATATGAAGAACTTCTTAAGCTTTTAGGTAGAGGAACCCTGATGGAGCAGAGATTGAGTAAAATTCTGTGTTCGGTTTTTAAAATCGTGATAATAAAACGAACCAGGAGAGCTTGAATGAGTTTATCTCATTACCAGAAAAAACATATGCCTACACAGGACGAAATAACGTGTTTCCGTATTTTGGAAACTCGACGGAAACGGGAAGTTGCTTATATCCGTCACGTTTCCGCCCTGCGGAAACATGGTGATCTAGTTTTCCATGGACGGGACGCGTTTCCGCCATGTTTCCGCGTCGGAAACGAACGATCATGTTTCCGCCACATTTCTGTCATCACATTTCCGTTCTTTCTTGTTTCCGTTACGTTTCAGGTGACGAATTTTTTTTTTTTTTTAACCCATGTCCAAGATCGCATGATCAATGTTTCGTAAACTTTGCCTTGGCGTACAATCAAGGTGAATAAAGGTAAATTTACTCTCGAGATTAAACGGTTCTCATGCATTACGCGCGCGTTGCATTGATGCAAAGACTGTGAAGTGTGCGAGGTTGCCATTGCTTTCCATTCTAAGTGATAAAAATCGCAGAGCTTACCAACAGCTTTCAATATTTGCCAGATTGATGTTAATCAGTACTAGTACTGGCGTAAAACTAAAATGCTCTTAGACGGAGAAAACAACAGGGAAAACAAGAGAGAATGGGGCCTAGAACAGAGCGGAGTGCTGGTCAGCGGACTTTTGCTTTGCTCATGCTCATTACGGTTATTCTTTTTGGCGTCCATTTTGAAAGTGATTTCAACGGCTTCAAATTTGCCAGCTTCTATAGGTTCTAGGAGCGTGGAATCGGTATATTTTTGCTTTCTGATGATACCACAAGACATCTAAGGGTTGTTATGTATATTTAGCGACCCACCGGCCTTCAGTAATCGATCGCTTCCCTCGTAAAGCGACTCTTTTCTGACACAGTGGAGCAGAATGTGAGACAAAAACCTCGTGATGCCCAAGTATAATTTGAAAGTTGGAGTGTTTTACCGTGCTAAGGCTATCCAAGGCGGAGGATTGTGATGGAATACCGATAGTAAGACGAGGTAAGCTTAACAGTTTTCCATATTTCATTTTTGTGGTCTGTAGCATTTGAGATAATGAATAATGCTTGGGAGACATATTTGTTGACACAAAGCTGTGATTGATAAGTACAGTAATTTCCCGAGCAGGAAACTGCAACTTAATGAACCTGAATCCTCTTACTAAACAAGGCGAGGCGCTGCACTGTGAGGTCTGTGAAATGATTGTAGAAAAATGGTTAGAGGGTTCCAGTGATTTTGTTACAAATAGTATATGCATGGTGAGTCCTGGGATCGGGACTCATTTTGTGAATAGTCAAGAGTTCTGGCCTGTCCACATGCACAACCAGTGAGTCCCAGTTAAAAAACAGGGAGTCCTTAATTGAAAATGCTTGGTATGGGCCTTTTAACCAGACAGTTAATCTGGAGACAGATGCCAAAACTTTTTATGACAGTTTACTAAAATGAAAATATAGTCCTATATATTTAAAGCACAAAAAGACTAAAATGATTATATACATCTTTAAACAACAGCTACAGAAATCGCACAAACAGGATATTCTACCAACAAATCTTCAAATTGATCGATCATCCTTTGCATCCTATGGGATGCATGCCATGAATTATTTTGCGTCTTTGGATAAGTTTTTGTGTGAGGGACACAAAATGCAGAGGTAACAAAATCACTGGGGTTTGAAATCATTCCAAATAGTGCACCAGTTTAATTTACTGAGAAGGACGGTAACAAATATTGTTGATCGTTTCATATGTCCAGGAAGCCCCTACACAGATTTTTTTAAACAGCGACGACCAAGTATGTATGCTACGGAAATACAAAAACATTTAATCGAAAATCAGGTTGTTGACCCGCAAAGGTTCGATAAGTCATGTATTGACACGTGATTTCGGTTACTCTTGCAAAGAGTTGACAATAGTTCCAAAAGAGAGCTTAATCTAATAATATAATAATGCTTGACTGAGAACGCTCAAGAAAAAGTTGAAGCATGTATTTTTTTTCAGTAACTGTGATCCCAGGAATAGGTACTTCTTTGACGAGAACTCGGTGATTAAAACAACTGGGAAGTGAAGCTACTGTTGAGCAAACTTGTGAAGCTCAGTCGTAGTTGACAACTATGTCTTGAAGTTCGCAATTTGATTCCCTAACTTGCTAAGTAATTGGCTACTTCATGATGTAGTACCCAATTTTCCAACGAACTTTGCAACATGGTGTGGTAAATAATGTGAAATCGACTGTAACAGAGTGATCCAGACTTAAAGAGCGCTTTCCATTTGTCCGAACTGGCCGGCCGGACCATTGTCCAACCAGTCGGTTTGATATTGAAATATGCTTTTGCCAAGAGTTTTTGCTGAACAACCATTTCCTTGGTGCATACTACTTAGGATTTGACTGATCTGGCTGGAGAGATTTGATTAAAATGGAAATTCTCATTGCGTTGGGAATGGTTTGGCCGGTCAGTTCTGACAAATGAAAAGCACCCTAAGTCATTTCAGTGGACAGCAAAACCAGCAGTGGAGTTAAACTAGTAAAACCACTTTTATTTATCCTGTATTACCCTGCAGTTCTATGCAAACATCATATTGACCAGGGGGAAGGAGGGTACTCCTTAAATATGTTCTCTTGAAATCCAAACAATGTTCCCACAACTTGCAAAGCAACCAGCAGATTTGTTTACTGATCATTCCTTGAATATCCACACTCATAGCTCAGCATACATTGTTGTCAGTTAAGATGTTACATGGTTGCGGTGACTGTCACATTTTTTTTAGTTTCTCTTGCATCTTCAATACCAAGAAACAATTACAACATGTGAGAAAAACAAAGAGGCATGATATTTTTGTCAATTATTGAATTATTTTCTCTGTTGGTTCGCCTCTCACTGCTAAAATATTTACTTTAGGAAACACATGTACATGTATATCCAGCATATCACATTGAATGTTTGGCTTTCAAGCTAGATCAAACTCTTTTGAATGAAAGAGTTTGATGCAGCTCAGCCATTCAACAAAACCCACTCACCAAAAAAAATTGAATAGATCATTTGATTTTTGAAGTCAGTCAAACATTGAGTTGGGTTATCAAACAAAGTGGAACTCACATAAGGAACACTCGAATGGAACAAAAACAAGCGTTTCAGTTCCAAGCAATTGATGACAAGTGTGTTAATTATTGATCTAGTGTGAAAGCAGTCAAAGCGATGTAAGATCCTGCTTCTTTTATTATTTCCATTTCAGAGTTAAATTCTAAAATAAACATTTTTGTGAAAATTTACATTTATTTTGTTTACCAAGGAAAAAGTCTTTAAATCTGCAAGTTGAAATCATCTTGGGAATCATCTCAGTTATTACTCTTCACTCCTTAATTGGCCTCAATAATATTGTAGCATATTCTGAATCCAGCACTTGTCAGATTTCCCTGGCTTGTTGAGTTGACTCAGTTTTCACATTTTATTTTTTTCCAATATAATTTGGTTTGTTTCGATTTTGTTCAGGCATCAAACTCTCCAGAAAGCTGGTTTGATATTGTTTGATGGCCAAACTGTTTTGTTCGGGAGAGTTTGATGGGAACTTTGTTTTGCATAATACATTGTACACCGGAAGTATACATTTACTGCAGTAAATTATCTGCTGCCCACCAGGGTTATCGCTTTACAAGTTGTGAGAACATCATTTCTTGCACCCAGACCTTGTTACTTTCCCCTGCTTCCCCTGGTATTGACCCTGTACGTGTAGATGATAATGTACAACCTGAGGGAGGTTGTGCCCTTGAAAAGTAGGCTTTTTGTTACTGGTACTGGTAATCATAGACAGCCTCTGTTTACATTTACATGTACATGTAACCCCTGGTCCATAGTCTTAACGTTGCAGGTTGCGGGCAACATAATGTACTAGCTATTACTATGAAACACAACTGTATGCATGTAAAATTATTGTAATGTGATGAATCAGGGTTGTCAGAAAGTTTTGAAGTAGACAGCTGAGTTGTCAAAAATAATAAGCAGCCAGTAAATTATATGTATATTACTCATTTAGTATTTTTTATTCGTATGAGAATATCTACATTAGTAAAATTGCCTTACTGCTAAAAGGTTTTCCCTCCCCCCCCCCCCCCCCCGATAGCCTGGGGAATAGCTTCTGTGTTTTACTTATTAGCACTTTGTTTTGTTTTTCATACAACAGGCCAGGCAGATCACCTTGGTATGTGATGTTGGTGCAGAACGTTCTCTCAAAGCAGGCTGGTTCATGGAACTTAATTTCAGTCTCAAGTTACTGTGCTTTATGCTTAGTCAAGTTCTGCAAATGTTAATCTTGAAATACTACTTCTATGCTAAAGACAAAAAATGTCCAACTGCTACCTTGAGTGAGCAAGGTGAAGCAAACCTTGCATTCTAATTGGCTACCCAAGGGGGCAAGGTGAGCCCATTTTGCCCACTTGGGATTTCCTGCGTTGGTTCCACAAGTAAAAGTTCTCTTCTTGGCCATGTAATAATTCATTTATTGACCAAGCTTGTTCATTCAAGATGGCTGAATATTGACCTCATTCATTTTTGTATTTTTATTGACCAAGACCAGGCTGTGCTCTGTGGCCCGTTGCGCCTACATCTGTAACTTTTGTTCTCAGGCGAAAATCTTTGCTTTTTCATAGAAATCATTTGCTGGGCACACTGGATTTCACAAGTTCAGAGTGCTGGGCTGCCTTCAATTTTTCTTAGAGCACAGCCTTGCAAGGGAAGGCAGGGTCAATAAAGACGCAAATATCCAGCCATCTTAATCTCACACATGGTCAATAAAGCATAATTATTTATTACAATTTTATGGTTGAATCCGTGAGCGGGCAAGGTGAAGCAAATCCTGTGCTCTAATTGGCTACTCAAGTGGGCAAACCAATCAAGCTTGTTCGGTGAAGATAGCTGGGTATTGGCCTCGCAAAAAAGAACCTGGCCAATATCCAGGCATCTTGACTGAATGTTGGTCAGTAACGCATAATCATTTATAACAATAATAATTATTAGAACTTTGTGAACATCTTTTCCAGAAAGGCATTTTATATTGCTTTAAAAGGGCTAGGTTATGCTATGCTATATTTTGTTCTTTGAGAGGCTTAAATGTGTCTTGGCTTAAATTAAGTTCCAAAAATAATGGTCCAGTTCTGTTATTTAAAACTTAATTGAGGCATTGGCACTGTTTCCCATCACCTCTTGCTATGTATGACAAAGATGATCATGGATTGAAACTTGGCCAACTTTTTCAAGGTTAAAATAATGCTGTGACTGCATAAATCACCAAGAATTATTATGGTTTGTGCTTCTTGATGAAATTGGCTTGATGCATGTATCTTCTTCATAACTCTACAAGTCAAGCATTTTGTGTAAGGGTAAAGACACTAAGAGCGCTTTCCAAAAGTCGGAACTGGCCGGCCAGACCATGGCTGGAGCAGTCGTTTTGACAATGAAATAGCTTTTTCCGAAGAGTTTTTGCTGAAAAACCATCATCTTTGTGCATTAGTATTTAGGTTTTGACTGATCTAGTTGGATAGTTGTGATTAAAAGTGAAATTCTCGTTACTACTGGAATGTTCTGGCCGGTCAGTTTTGACAAATGGAAAGCGCCCTAAGTAATGACTTCAGCATAGAAGTGACCTAAAACGTACACATGAAACACATAAACCGTTTTAGCAGACTTGTATTATGTAAAACTGTAGCCATACTTTGTTTGTTGATGTATTTTTTTGCATTTCAATCTTTGGAGTGGTCATAGAAAATTGTGTAGTTTAGACCACCATGTTAGAAGAGTAAGAATATTTCCTGACACCATAATTATAAAATTATCCTGAAGCAGAATGGTCATATGAGTAAGTGGTATATGGTCATACAGGTTAGTATAGCACTTAGTGGGACTGTTGACAGGAACTGATGTTTTGACAATGCCCATGAAAATGATGATCACCTTGTTGTCTAAACGTTAGTCGCTGTCAACAACAGTCCTGCTCAGGACTACAATGTACATTCACCCGACAAATCATATTCCACTTTGTTGAAATAATTATTATAGACAGCCAAACATATCACTAGCCATAAACTGCACATGAAAGTGTTTATCACTATCTGCTATAAAGGGTATTAATTTGTTAACAGATTTGACATTTTCTTTGCCAAAAAAAACACTACGTAGTCCTACAGAAAATTTCTAGTGGATTTCCTAAAGGAAGCCTCTTACTATTCCTGTTCATTCCTAGTGTGAATAGGCACTCACATTTAAAATGTAATTTAACTTAACCAATGTAATGAATAAATACCATAAGAAGACCTGATTGTCAGTTTAGGAAGCAAGAAGAATAAAGAAAGTACTTGGAAAGATTGCTGTGGTATTATTTTGTGCAATAAAAATGTCGAGAGAATGGGTTTTTGTAACTATAGATGGCGGGAAAACCACCCCAAGATGGTGAAAAGCGCTTTTTTCACGATGGAAATAACTTGAAAACACCAGTTTCCGACTCGTAAACTCGTGTTTCCGCAATAGTTACATACGATTACGTTGACGGAAACATGAAATTGACTTGTTTCCGGAACGTTTTCGCGTGTTTCCGCAAGGATGCCACGCATTTACTCTTGCGGAAACACGTGTTCGCTTAGACGGAAATTTGACGGAAACGTAGAAAAAAGTGGTACGATTCCGCCGGAACCGCAGCGACGGAAACACGGGTAAACGTAATGTATCCGCTAACGGAAACATGTAATTACCGTCATGTTTCCGCAACGGTTTTACGTGTTTACGTTAAGTTTCCATTTACGGATTCTTGAAATTTCGTCCTGTCTGGGAATTTAAAAAACTATTCCTCTGGCTGACCATGTCTCAACAAGGTCATGCATGTTGAGAGTTGAGAAACTAATCAACTTCAACATGACTTGTATGTGGACATTTCATACAAATTCACTCTTGCATGGGTATTTGTTTCTCATGCATGTACACAAATAACTGTGAACACTTTCACAAATGATTTGGTACTCTTTAAGGGATAATTCAGTGCTAATGAGGGTACTGCATATTCAATAATCATATAAACACAATTCTCCTCAACTGCATCCTTAATGACATTGTTACCGGTAATTTCTATTTCAGTGTAAGTTATTATGTTTGTACCTTACTGTTTTAAAAAACAATTAGTTGTCAAGTGTGATTATCATACATGCCAACTCTCCCGGATACGACAACAATCTCTTCCTGTACGGGTCAGCAAATCTCCTGGATAAAATGGAGTTATGAGCTTTCCAGTGCTTTAATTTGGAATTTATCCCTTTTTCTCCCAAAATTCGAATTTTCTTTCAGTCATAGTTCGGTTTTGGGGCATTTTCACATGTATTTCATCAGTGACAAAGATTATTTCCCCATTAGAATCGTAAACGCTAATTGTGATAGTTTTGTGCCTCATGTAAGACTTCATATAATGTCCTAAGTCGATTAGGGACTGGATCCAATTGTGCTTATTGGGGGTCAGGGGGGGAGGGGAATGCTAAAAAAAGAGTCTCCAGATTTTAGATTTCCAGAGGTTGGCATCTCTGGATTATGTACTACAACAAGTGCAAACACTCTCATTGCTGTAGTTTACTTGACAATAAATATTTTTCGTCAATTACCAGCATTTACTTGCTATTTTCACTGCTCTGCTAGCAAATGACACACTTCACAAGTAATTATTATTAAATTTAATAATTAAAGATGGCATGAGTTAGCTGCATATTCTCTCTTTTGTGCAGTTATTCACTATCACACCCATTTTCTTTTGACTATAATTACATATGTAGGAGGGTCAGATGGGGTAAACACAGGACCTATGAAACATTGCCTACCCTTCCTTAGCAACACCAGCCCTCCTTAAAGTCCCAGAAAAGCCTTTTTAATGACAGAGCACTGGGTTCAGATTTACTCCAACAAAAGGAGATTTAGTACATCTCACAATCCAATATTAGAGCCAGTGTTGAAACCCGCCCGCCAGGCTACACAATTTACTCCAATTCTCCCCCCCCTTCCATCCCTGACATTTTATGGGCCTCGCCCCCCCCCCCACCCGAATTTCGCGAGTTTCTGCGTTACACGTATTTCTAGTCCTAAACGATGTAAGAAAATTGAGTGTGTTGTCTTAAACAGGGCATGTATTAAAGGATTTTGTGTCCTAAACTAGGTCAGGTTTCAAACCTCAGCCGCTGACTTATACCCAAATATTGGTCGAGTACTCCCCCCCTCCTCCAATTTTTAGACCATTTTGGAAACCGAGAAGCCCTTGGGAAGAGGAGGAACCCTTGGAACTAGAAAGATCACGTGACTGCGGTTTGTTGGTTCGTAGAAGGCAAAGAAATAACAATTGGACACGACAAAAAAACAGGGAGTCATTTGTTTTTACAATTAGGAAAGTCATTTCGCCATTTCCTGTTTTAAACACGCCCGAAAATCTTACTGATTTTCTACGAAATGCTCTGCTCTAACCCCCTGAAAGCATTCCATTTAATTTTAGAATTGCCAGGCGAATAGGAGAACGTGAGCGGCATTCGCAGTTGACTAAGTATAGTTGGTATAGTTTTGCTTGCTTAAACATAAAATGAACTCGCCGTATTTAGTATGAACTCAGTCTGCAACGTAATCTCAGGGCAGCTCTTGAGCCGCTTTTGAGATAAACGGAGGGGCGGCTTATTAACCAGAGTAGAAAAAGGGCTTCGAAACAAACTACAGCAGTGCTGATCAAAATACGTATTTTATTTCACAAAGTCATACATGAACTAAATCGAATTTATAGAAGGGGGGTTTATATCCGGGGGCTTATAATTAACAATTATTCTTTGAAATCGAGATGAATAGTGGCTAAATGAGTTAAACGAGACGCGAAGCGGCGGGGTAAATATTCCTAAAGCCACACTAACCACAGAGAAAAAAACATTTCGAGGGATTTTGCAAGTGCACTTTTACGATTTTGTTGCAAATTCAGCAAGAAAATAATTTTCTATATGTGACAGGGTGTCACGAACTTTATTTTACAAGGACTTGATTTAGTTTAGTTGTTTGCTGTTTGATTTCTATGTTTTTGACCTCTTTTTAGCAATGATGCTTGGTCTCATTTTTAAATGACAGTAGCAATTTCTAGAAACTTTCTAGCATAATGTAGCGTAGGACTTGCTCTATTTCCTTTTACTATTTAGGAATTCAGTAAAAGCAATTGTTATTTCGCGTGCTTAGTTAAACCCCAGAAATAGCTTTATCAGTTTTATCCCTAAAATGCACATTTTGCTCATTTACAGGAAAGGCGCTTTTCTAGGCTTTCCTTCTTTGTTTAGTAGGTTAAAAAACGTTTCATGCACGTAGGAGGTTTATTTTACAGATATTTTGAGATAGTAATTGGTTTGT